CGTCAAAACGTCCGAAAGAAGCAAACACCGTACCTTTTTCTTGGTCTTGGTAAGAAACGTTTCGATGGTGACATCACCATCGATCTTCTGCAACTCCACGCGCACATAAGGATCGCTGAAATCGATAAAAATCAATTAGTTGATGAAAATTTTTAAATAAATATTAACATTCTTACACTAGCGTCACAAAATGTAATTTATGTGGAGAATACTATTTTTATTGTGATTATTAATATAAAGATCGAACACATAGAAAAATCGTCTTCGACCCGATGGCACTTGAACCCACAACCAAACTGCACCGTAGTATTTGCTCTTACCAACTGAACTACGGGTCAAGTTATCGAGTTGTCGAAATTCTCCTATGTGTTTTTGTTAAAGATCTTTGTATCGGATTTTTCAGCATTTGATCAAAAATCGACATTTACGTCAGTTGAGGCACCTATAAAGGTACCGGCTGCGGTGATGAAGGTTCTAAAATCTCTCACTAGATGTCACTAGAAGCGCAGAATGCCGAAAAATCCAGACTATTCTCGGCTGTACCTTTAGCTGAATGAAAATCGTTTGCACACGCCACATCCGCACATATGACAGTATCCTATCAAGTTGTAAAAATTGTTGCTGTTGTTGTGACGTTACAAAAAATCACTTCGGATCCCAGCCTTCTTGAGGACATCATTGATCTGGTCACTGTAAGTCCTTCTAGGACGTCCTCTTAGAGCCTCCGATCCAAACCACCTCAACATTCCTTTCTCTATTCTAGTCACCACATCCTCTCATCACCATCCACGTACAATACTCATGTAGTAAATATTTTACAAATGCAGTTTAATGAAGACATGCGAGTATTCAAGTGTCTGATAAAGCATACAATTGAATAGATAGTTAATAGGTACTTTCCCTGGAGCACTGTCATCTGAATATTTTTTTAGGTCGGTCGGTTTCTTTGTTATTAACAAGTTGATTACATCATTTGAAAGAAATTGCCTTTCCGTAGAAAGTCTAGGAACAAATGTGGCGAAGACCGGCAGTTGTGATTGTGCGAGCGTAATTGCACTCGATCGTAACCAGTTAGCGTCATATTTCATCGCAAAAACGTTTTATTTACTGTATGTTAGCTTTTGTTTATCCGGTGATTCATTTTGCACTTTACAAATACATACTTCTCGTTAACAGTGATTTTATTATAATAAATAAACCCTGTGTCGCGGGTCCCAGGGATAAACAAATTATCCCCAAACTCACGAGAGAAATAAATGTATGCCATACAAATATTTCTCCCGGCCCGGGAATCAAACCTGGCGTGATAGACCGTTCGGCCACGGAGGCAGTTATTGATGAAACGTGCATGTCGAAAAATGGATGCCACGGAGCTACCGTGGCCACATAGTCTAGAGGCCTAAAGTCCCCAAATTTTTGTCACTTACTCCATGTGCCAATTTTTTCTGCTTTGAGTAGATCCCCTACCTTTCTAACATTAATTGTCTTACAAATTCATGACCTGACACGCAAACGCGGCTGACTATAGGAAACCAAATCGAACGTTAAGTTTCATACATTTACCTAACCGAACTTCTAGTTTATAGCGAAATACAAGATGCAGGAGTTTACAAGCTTGACTGTGAGTGCGGTCTCTCTTATATTGGACAAACGAAACGAAGTATTTGTACCCGCGTCAAAGAACATACAGCTGATGTCAAACACCGTCGCATAAACAAGTCTGCAGTCTGCGAGCATGTCATGGATAAAACTACACATTCAATGAAGTTTGACAAATCTCAGGTCCTTCCAAAAGAAGTTCGTTATCTATGTTATGCTGCGAGAAGCCATTGAAATTAAAAAACATCTTAACTTCAACAGGGAAGATGGTTTCTTCGTACCACCAGTATGGAATCCAGTATTTTCTCTGATGAAAAATCCCAAAGAGACATAAGACTGCAGTCAGTACTAATTAATATGTTTTCATTTATTCTAATTTCTATTGTTGATTAATAATCAATTTAACTTAATAAAAATTCATTTAATAAAATAATTTGTGAAACGTGATGTAGCGTAAATTGGAATGTTTCTTTGTAAAAAAGTTATTTAATTAATAACCTTTGTAACTATAATGAAGAAATAGAGTGGTTTGCAAGAATATTAGACATAACTGGTTGATGACTGTACCACCTCAGTTAACCGTGATCATGGGACCTGTAAAGGGCCCGAAACGTTGGTGTATTGGAAAAAACAAATATATGCGATTGAAATCGGGAAAAATAGTTTCATTTCTTATTGCGAAATACTTAAGTACTTCATAGGTAAATTGTAAATGTGTACATTAAGAAAGTATTATGTATTTAATCTTTGTAATATGGATGATTGCACTTAGGGAAAGCCAAAATTTTAATCACGAATTGCCTAAATAGATCTCACTTTCGTGGATCCCTATCAATGTCACGTACACCCGGTTTTTTTTTCATTGACATGGACCCCTGACACCCGAGGGGTCAATATAAACCACTTTGCGAATCACCGATCTGGACTCAAAGTCTAGAGAGTCTAGACACTCCCCTTAGAAGTCACTTGGACGTATAATGCGTTGGCAATGAAGATGAAATGCGTTTTAATCATAAATTAATTACATATATATAATTAATTTATATATTATAATTATATAAATTAATTGCGAATAAGAGCTAGACCAGATTCCATATTCAAACTCCCTTGCAATATGAATAATCTCAGAAGAGTACTAAAAAAACCGACCTCAAAATTTAGTGGAATGACATCTATTTGCCAAGGTTTATTGAAATCGGTTACCGGTAGGTGCGCGAAACCGGAATCACCCCCTAGTTTGCCTACCTTAGAGGCGGAATATTTTCTTCAAATTTAAATGGGACACTACCGAGATACGACGAGACGAGATTTCCAACAAAAAATAATCATCAAAATAATAATGATAATAATAACACGCAAACACTCAACATAGCCCCGAACTAGGGAAACCCTGTGTCGCGGGTACCATGGACACACGTACACAACCACAAATTACACTCAAACGCACGAGGGAAATAATTGTAGGCACAAATATTTTTCCCGGCCCGGTAATCGAACCTGGGATCTCTGCGTGGCAGTTCGTCGTGGTGACCGTTCGGCCACGGAGGCAGTTAAAAATCGGTTCACAAATAACATATATATATTGTCGCGTAACATACATACCAAAAAAAACAGTGACTAGAGAAAAAAGGAAGAGCCTTTTTTAAAGTCAGATAAAAAGCGATAAACTTTACGTGTAACCGACTTACCCTTAGGAAATAATAATGCAACGTAATAGTGGCATTACTACGATTTCGTCATGGCATTTATACGGAAGATTAGTATGGTAATTAGTCATGCGGAACGAGACTGACCTGGTGACCGTCAATTTGGGCAATTGTTCACGTGATGACGTGATTTCGGTTTCACACTAAGCATTTATTTACGTTCAATCACGAGAGACGTGTTAAATGGATTTAAGTTTGGAATACAGCGCATAAAATTTTAAAAAAAGCATTTAGCGGGAAAAAAATGCATACGGCCATTGACTTACAAATAAATGGACGACGGGTCTAATACAAAAACCACGAAAAAAATGTCCCAAGTCAACCTATTTAAACGTAGTGACATGTAAAGGAATATGAAAAAGCTATAATGTTGAATTTAAATTGTAATGTCATCGCAGTACTGTCTAATTTTGCTTGCTTCGCTGTCAGTCGAACAAACGAAGACTAAAGCGTGAATGACGCTCTGTATACGATTTTAACGCCCTATAAGTTCGGACACTTTTTAGCGCGGACCCGACGTCCATATAATTGTAAGTCAATGCATATGGCCCGGTATTTCATCTTTAAAAAAACATTTACACAACAGAACAGAACAAGAAAATTTTAATTCATTAATAAGGAAAATGTATGAATCAGTTCCGGCTTCGATTGCACGTCAGGACCGCCTTGGAAACCGGTTATCAAATTTCATACGAGTCTGCGAACTCCGCTATCTATTATTTCCACGAGTTGTGCACCGAATTACATTAACATAGCTAAATAGTGACAGCCGTAACATTAATACGAGGAATAAAAATAAAGTGACTGTTCTTCAGTCGTCTTCACGAAGTCACAAATCCATTTAAGGGGTAACATTCGTGACAATGCGACCTCTTTCGTCGTCATTCCACCTTTTCATCACCCTTTTCTGTGGTTCCTGGCCACATATTTCAGAAATTTTGAATCGTTTTCAAATTATTTTTCTTCGTCTTTCTTACTTTGCTTCGTTCCGTCGTCACTGCCATCAAAATTGTCGGAGAGAAAAGACGTATGCTCCAATCATGTAAACCTTATAAACTAGCATATGTGTGTGTGTACATATATTATATAGGCCTGTATTTTATACTATGGGTAATTCTAATTCTCAAGCAAATAACTGACACCTAATGAGATGTGCATGTTTTTGCAATACAATGAAAAACAAAAATTAATCACATGATAAACAATTACTCAATGTATATTTTGCCATATTACAAGTATATAAATGTAATACATAATATATTTTTGTTTGGCCGGAAGTATATGAAATGTCACGACCATGTCGTGTGCTTTCCCGAGACTGTAACATTAAACCTAAACTAATAAAATATTATAAACATAACTCAGAATTTTATCTCGGTATAAAACATTGCAGTATTTTTATTCCTTATATTGCATTAAACGTTTTGTCAACTCACCATCACCTTTGTGTATCCCAGATATATGTGACAAGAACTTTGTTTTTTGGATCAACTATACTTTATCTTTTTAATTTTATCTATGAATTGTTATGTAGCCCCGATAAATTAATAACGCTTTACTTTTTCAGAAAACTTTTTGTGACTTGTTTTTTTATCACGTCTATGGTCAAATACAAAACCTACCTAAGTCGTAATTTTTAGAACTAAACATCGGGCAACATCAATAATTATACACTTCTAGTGGCAACTCCTCAGATGTTTGCTTTTCGCGACGACGTTCATTGTTGTGGTGTCGAAAAATTAAATTTCGAAAACCATTGACTTACAAATAAATGGACGACGGGTCTAATACAAAAACCACGAAAAAAATG